TCCAATTGTTCAGAAGTACAGCTTCCAGACTAACTTTTGATGAAATGCTAAAAAAGTCGCCATTCTTGAGAATGATGTTCAGTATCTAATTCTTCCATTAATGCATCAACATTTGTACAGAAACAAAGTATCTTGCATGTTGTAATGAGAAGCAAGACTTTGATGGCGACTTCGGTAAATTGAAACTAGAGCCAAGAAGTTCCCCATGCTGCTTGGATAGAAACAAGTAATGAATCAGATCATTTAGCTCTTCTTATGTGATCAGATGAGGCAGTTTATGTTGAGGTGCCACGGGAAGAGAATTACTAGATGAAAAGAATGAAGATGATTCATTGTCTTCTTCGCAGAATAACTCTTCTGTTTCCCAATTCACTGGTGGATGTAGCACTGGAAGACCACCCCCATGAGATACTGGTTTCATTGAAGATGCAATATCTGGATATTTATTGTATTGTTTAATTTAGCCTGAATATCCCAAAACATTAGTCATGCAAAAATAACAGTCAGCTAGATTATCTTTGGGCTCACACCATATTATGAGAACTGCAAATGGCACACTTTCTCTCTTATTCAGTCACCGTGTCAAGCCAAATGTGCAAACACTACAACACACACGTGGAGCCCAATGTTTTTATTGGTCACCAATTTTACACCCAAAATAGTGTTAGTAAACTACCTTTACCTTCTGCGATATTTTTCCTTCGTGAAACTAATATTTTCCACAAATGTATCAGAAACTGTTAAAGTAATTTTTTTGCATTTCTGAACTTTACATGAACTGGAGACAGCCAGAATTTCAAATTTTGTCTAAAAAACATAAAACGATTTATCTTTACACGACTAGAATTTAAAATATTTTTAAAAAAGTTTTTGCACAATTTAATTATATCGTGGGTATGGTGCTAGCAGTGCACAATTGGTAGCCTGCGAGACACCACCCAGATTCTTATGGACAGAAGAATGTAACCAGGCATACATTAATCATTTCTAAATTACGACTTTATCCTCCAAAAATTTTCATGCCGCATTGAGATGGTTAGTGATGGCCGGCAAACATATGGCTATCAAAACTCCATAGTATAACCATATTACTAACAGAGTATATTAGAAGTCACATTAATTGACAAAATATTTAGTAAATCGGTATTTAGCCTGGCATAGACTGTTGGTTAGAGCACTCAACTCGCAATCTGCGGAACGCGGGTTCGAATCCCATCACTTAAGATGCTCTCTCTTTCAACCATGGGGTAGCATAATGTGATGTTCAATCCTCATATTCGATTAGAGGAAACTACAAGTCGACGGTGGGCAATGTTAACTAAATGCCTTCCTTCTATCTATCACAGGTAGTCCTGAAGTATTTCTTCCCGAAATTCAACAAACAATAATGGTTATTTGGGCTATTACTCAGGATAACAATTTTATTCTGGTTGCCATAACCTTACCGTAAGAACGTATGGTACAGTACGAAATGGAATAATGGGGATGGTAGGTGCTATAAACACCAGGAATTTAGTTATTGCTATAAAGGTTAACCAAGGAACTGGTAAATATAAGTGATCCAGATGATAACTTCAAAATGATCAAGTACATCTAAAATAAGATCCATTGTTGGATGAAATGTCTAATAATGAATCCATTATTAGACGTACGTTTAATATTGAGTCCTTTGATGGATTAAATATGTCTGATAATGAATCCACTATTAGACGTATGTCTAATATTGAATCCGTTGTTAAAGCGACTAAACAGTCTAAACTAATTTCGTTAGGATCAATAACATTTGTTAATATAATTATTGAGAATCACATACCTGTTGTCAAAATAATCTTGCTTGTTCATAAGAATGACACCATTTCCTTTATCGGGATATAGAACAATGATACTTGAAAAACTGTTTTAGTTCGAGGTGTGTGTGTGTGGTAATCCATAACAAGGCTTGTGTTGTGTGCTTTAAAATTCATAAAGTTAGACCGGAATTAAACTCAAAAACACACAAAACTTGATAGAAAACAGACATCGAAAACAAAGTAACGAACGTGTGAAGGACCTTCGTCTTTATACCATGTAAGGTAAATAAATCTTTTCTATTAGTTTCTATGGAGTATTGTAACTTTTTCTCTATTTTATGTAAGGTAAAAAAGTGGCTTTTCTATTTGTTCCTGTAAAATATTATTATGTTGTTGAATGACCAGCGAGAACTCTTTCAGCTTTACAACTACGATTGGCAAGACCTATCAACAACTTGGAAATCAATAAGTATATTGTGTCGAGGTCAACAGAGTAACTCATCAAGTATATTATTTGGATGTCAACATAATAGCTCATTAAGTATATTATTTCCAATAATATTTACCTCTGCTGACACTATAGCTATTTCTCGATTTCCATGGTTTCCACTCTTTGCCCATCTTTTATACCCCTCTAGAATGCCCTTGGCAAATTCTAATTTGCAAAATTCTCCACAGACTTCAATGCGCCATCTATTCAGGCAATGTATATAAGCACCTTATTCAGATAATGTAATCTAGGGCCCGAGAAGGTGTGGCAATTGCTACACGCACTCGCTTTCCTGTGCGCCTACATTCCCTTCCACAGTCCACTTACCCTGAGCATTTGGTAGCCACTGTTTACTTCCCATCTCGTATCATCACTATTGCAACTATCTGCATTCATCCCGGAGTTCCCTTGCTCAATGCCTTTCTCTCCTTTTTAGACCACTCTTTTTGCAGCTATGTTCTTCTTGCTAATGTCAACTACCACAGTAGAACCTCTGCCGAACTTGTCCGTTTTCAGTCCTCCTTATGTTCCTTTTCTGGTTCTTTGCTACCCCTGCTTGCCCCTAGTCGTCCAATTTCTCATTCGTCACCTGATATTGTCTTTGTTTCTTCCAACCTGGTTCCTTTTATCACTCTCCAGATGTGTCCTCCGGTTGGTAGTGACCATCTCTCCATAGAACTTTGTGTCCGTTCGCAGTCCTTGTCTGTTCCTCGTGCTTTCCGTCGGACTCATCTAAATTTTCGTTCTGCCGACTGGAAATCTTATGCTTCACACATTACTAGTGCCATACCATATATGGATCGACCTCTTACTACAGCAGCCGATCTTGACTCCTTCACCATCTTACTCACCTCCATCTGCAAATATCGCGTTTTCCCCATTTTCCGCCTCCTGTGCTGACTTGCACGCTTACCCATCTATTATTCATTTTACCCATTTTTCTTTTTTCGTCCCTTGGCTGACGAGAAGGCGTAATCCTCTGCCGGCCCGCCGGTCCCCCGGGATCGGAATGAAATAACGCTTATGTGGTTGTTGATAATGTAATCACGTTTCTCGATAAAGTATTGGGCATGGTGTTTTATGTTGAATGTGGTCTGCGTTACTACGATTGTATCTTCGCATATTTATAAATTATTTGAATTATAAAATCATTAAAAATAATAATAATAACGTATCGACGGGTATGATTTCCCGGTTATTGTTTCTACTTATTGTTATTGTTTCCAAGAGATTTCTGATTTATACACAAGGGTCAGGTTCTGCAGTTCAAGGCTCTACCTTTTGATCTTGCATCAGCACCTTTTGTCTTCTGCAGAGTTGTTTGAGCTTTTTCTCGTCATCTGCATTCCTTGGACTTGTACACGCATCATTATATGGACGACTGGCTTCTTCTGGCGCCATCCCGTCAATTAGCAGAACAACATTTTAAGATTCTCCTTTCAGAAACCACAAAAGTGGGCTTCCTTATCCAACAGGAGAATTCTATTGTCACCAACGCAATATCTCGTCTATATGGGTGTGTTTTTACAATACTCAGTCGTGCTCAACCAACTACTATCAGGTTTCAAACCTGCATGGACGGTTCTTTCTCTTACAGGGTTGTGGGCATCTCTTGAGCCTCTTCTTCGTTTGGGAAGAGCACATAGGTGTCTTCAATGGTCACTGCTCGACTAATGGATCATGTATTCCAATTATTTGGGTTATCCTGTCTCTTTATTCAGGAACAACATCGTTGATTGGGAATGGTGGTTGGATTGGAATAACACTACATTTAGAGTATTTATTCAACCACCTCATTCCGAGATCCATCCATCCACCTTCTCAATGTGAGATTCTAGCTATAGTGTCAGCGGAGGTAAGTATGTTTTGGAAGTTAACATTTTCCTAAACTGAAAATATATTTCCTATAATATTTATCTCCGCTGACACTCTCCTGCCCTACCTCCCCACTAAAAGCCGGTTTATGTCTAGAAAAAGTGATTACATTATCTGAATGAGGTGCTTATATACAGTACCCAGATAGAGGGTGCATTGAAGTTGGTACAAAATTTTACAAATTAGAATTTTCCAAGGGAATTCGAGTGGGGATTAAAACGACTGGAGCAAATGTTCTCAATGTTTAGATGGGCAAAGAGTGGAAACCTTGGAGATCGAGAAATGGCTATAGTGTCAGCGGAGGTAAGTATTATTAGAAATACATTTTCAGTTTAAGAAAATGTTAACTTCGATGTCAGCATAGCAATTCATTAAGTATATTGTTTGGATGTCAACGTGCTTTTCCCTAATGACGAAAGTGAGATCGGCCCAATTCCACTATGTTGGCGTCGGATTATTCACACGCCATTTTTAAATAGATATCATTAATATTCTTTCGTTTACGGCTGAGCCCTTTAACATTTCAATGATTTATTAAAATTATTTTATGTGTCTCTAAATTTTGTTAAAACAATTGTGACGAGAGGTAAGTATTCTGGTTTTTGAATGTATTTTATGATTTTTAACTTTCGTTCTAACTCTTCTTCTTTCATGATTTTTAATAATCCTTATATTTCTGGTACTTCAAGTAAATTACATGTTTGCATCTCATCCAATATAAAGATAACAAACACTCAAACTGGATGAAAAAAACTTATACTCCTAAAAGGGTTAGTGAATACATTGTGATTCATTTCTTCTGGAAATTTCTTCAAAGCCAAAAACTAAAATAATCAATTTGATAGTTTTCATTTTGAAAATATTTTATTTCGAAAAGTCGGGCAACCCACAGTTTTTAAAGAGACAACAAAACCTAAAAGTGCTCTAACACAATGTTTATAAAACATATTGACGGTTAATATAATACAACTCTCTAAAACTGATAAAAAGTACGAAAAAAAAAAGATACATAAAGTATGAGACACTAAAATCATATTCTGAAATGTCAAACGTCTAATTCCCAAACCTTTGGTATAATTAACTTAATATATTAAACTTCGTGCACATATTATAGAGAACATTTTTTTCCAATCTCTATGGATGAAAAGAATGTTATAGAGCTTCATTCTCTTTCCGCCAGAGAATAAAATATAGTGGCTTTCTGTAATGAACGTAATAGTTGGGTGCTAGTGCTATTAATCACAAATTTTAATTAAACTGTAAAATCCTGAATAAAAGTACGCAGTGAAATTTAAATGCTTAATTCTCAAACTATTAAACTTAAATCTCAATCTATATTTCAAAATCATATACTCGGAAATATGCCTTAAATAGATTCAAACCCGGTTCGCTCTCTAAGTGACTAAAATATTCCGGATGAAACTCCACCTGGTGGGATTTTAGTTCGTGCTTTCAATTTCTCGGGCGTCGCTGATTTCATATCAGAATACCGATTTTCTGAATCTATGAAAATACAACAAACATGTTATGCTATTTCCTGTGTCTTGTTACAGCTAAAAACTAGGATAAAAGAATAAGTCGGTTCACTAAAACGAACAACGTTGCTTTTTTTTTCTCTGTAACCTCTTATTTCAGCCGTTAATCCTCGTGTTCAAGATTATATCCATGTATTCAGATATTTAAAACGACAAGACTAGCTCTATATGGTCACGTTATTACAGCTCTACTACAGTTTTCCTTGCATCTTTTCTGGTGTGAAAAAGAAAATGGTTCTAGTAAATTAATGGTGGCCAATCCAGAGCAGCGTGATATTAAATGATATCATATTACATATAAACCATCATTTAAACAAAAACAAAAAAGAGGTAAAAGATGGTATTTTCCCGAAAGGGAGCCGAAGGCCGCCTGGAGGGGGTCATCTGTTTTAACCACTCGCACCATTATACAGTAGTGTGTCAGTCAGTATACACTGAAATGACGTCACATAAAGGACGCTTAACATTGCATTTTATACTGTCAATTAAACGTGTGCATGTCATGAATCACAAAGAATTATGCACTCTGTATGCTACAACACAGCATGACATATGAACTTCAAAAGCAAGAAATAAAAATATTTTTTACACTTAATTTTGGTTTTATTTACTCTTGGAACAGAACACTTTCGGGACCCTGCTGAAGTACATCTCGTATAATAAACTAATTCGAGTTACGTATCAACTGATGAAACAATTATGTGAAATAAACTTAAGATAAAATATAAACTAATTTAATCTTTTTTTGCAACATGCATACAAGTATATTTAACTAACCTATTTTTTTTAATAAGATAAATCATAGTTGGACTTCGTCTGCCATAAATAATCAACTTCAGTATTTTGAATTGGTTATAAGATTAATTAACGTCAAAGTGATAGTTGCAGAACTTTGAGTATTCTTCCTACTTTTAGTGAAAATAATCTACAGTTGGAATTCCATTTTTGAATTTATTCTTACCTACTCCAATTTCATTGTTTTGCCCATTGGCCTTAACATCATCTTCCGTTTCTTCTTCTCCGGTAAGTGGGTTACGACGAGTTGGACCTTGTTAAACAAAGCATAAAAAAATTAAACAATATCATAATCTAAGAATTTGAACAGAAACCCAAACTTAAACATATATTTATATATAAAACTTTAAAGCTTATTAGACGAACAAGATAATATCAAGTTCATGCTTATCATTGGTAAGTCGAACGTAAAGAGTAGCTCATGCGATAGATGGGCTAAAAAGCCAGGTCAGCGACCCCTAGGGTTCAGGCACAACTATCCCTAATCTAAAACTGGTAATCAGAGGGAACGTGGAACTAGTCATTTGTGTAGGTACTCTTAACTGAATAGTCACAGTTATATCGGACCCTTCCACCCAGCTGAAAATGTAATGTTTTCAGCAGTATATCGCGACTCGAACCTTGGGCGTTTAGGTACACAACCCGGTACACTGCCCACTAGACCATGCTATTACTCATCAACTGTTAATTGTTGAAAAGGTGTGTAATCACATCTCAAATTTCTTTCTTAAAATTAATACAATCACAATTTATAAATTCAATTTCTTTCTTACTTAACTTTGTCAGTTTGTCCCTCCACTGTCTCAGCAGTAAATTTACACTTATTGTGTAGCTTTGCGCTAAAATTGATGTTTAAATTTGATTCGAATCATTCCTATAATTTGAAATTAGGTTACGTTTTTCTATCAGGAAGTTGTATATAGCGAAACCAGCCGTCTGACTGAAAAACGAGGAACCTGATAGTTTCTGCTCGATGAACACAAACGTTTTATTTACATACTGCCTTTAATATTAATTATAAGAACCAATATTTTCTCTCAAATAAACAAAAGTCATGTATTGCTGAAACTCTATCAATAATCTAACATTGAGATTCTGATAAATAATTGGATCTAGTTGAATATTAGGAATACTAAAAGAATAAAATCCTACACGCAAAACAACTTTAAAATCACAATCTGTTTTTGCAGAAAAAACCTGAACAAAAATAGTTTTTAAACTTGATGGTAAACTTAAAACAAAATCAGTTTTGAAACAACTTTCTATTTACCATATTTTCTAGAATTCGGAGACTGAGTAATTGGTTCATTATCAGAAAATATATTTGACTTTAACCGATCAATGACCTTCCTTGGTGAGCTATTTTCTTCTGGGGGTCCAAAAAGTCTGTTCTGACTGTCACTATCTTGATTCTGTCTCCTCTGTTGTGATAAGGGCGTATTAGTGATGTCGTCATCTTGGCTAAATATGCTAGATTGCATGTGGTTCTTGACCCTACGAGGACTTAGAGAATAGTGTTGGTCGTTATCGTTAGAAGTATTGAAAATATTACTATTGGCTCCACCCGGTGGCTTTAGAACCCTGCAATAAGAAGGACCATATTAAATAATGGAAATGTAATGGTTTTTCATTAATACAGAAGGAACATTTGTACTTGAATGATCTTGTAACCTGTGTGAACGTTTGTTTGTTGTTAAGCTCAAAGTTGCACAATGCACCCACCAATCGAAACCCGATTTTTAGCGTTATAAGCTTCCAGATTTACTGCTGAGCCACTGGTGGGTGGCGAGTAAAACGTAACATGTTCAATGCAAGAGGTTTGGTTGTCATAAAAACTTTGTACTTTCAGAAAGTAAGATACTGTTTTCTGGGCTACCTTTGTAAAGGTCAAAACTGAAAGTGTAACTTTAACTTTACTGATTTTCTAGCCTAATTCTGTAAAGTCGGAAATCTAGTGTAACTAAAAAGCATAAAATCTAAAAATGATGATCGTACGAGTTTTCAAGGAGTAAAATGCTGATTTTTCACGCAATGATTAACATGATGAACGCACGAGTTTTTAAAGAAGTAAAATGCTGATTTTTCACGTTATGACTAATACGATGATCGTACGAGTTTTTAAAGAAGTAAAATGCTGACTTTTTTCACGTAATGACTAACATGATGATCGTACGAGTTTTTAAAGGAGTGAAATGCTGATTTTTCACGTTATGACTAACATAATGATCGTACGAGTTTTTAAAGGAGTAAAATGCTGATTTTTCACGTTATGATTAACATGATGAACGCACGAGTTTTTAAAGAAGTAAAATGCTGATTTTTCACGTTATGACTAATACGATGATCGTACGAGTTTTTAAAGAAGTAAAATGCTGATTTTTCAAGTTATGATTAACATGATGATCGTACGAGTTTTCAAGGAGTAAAATGCTGAATTTTCACGTTATGACTAACATGATGATAGTATGCGTTTTAAAGAAGTAAAATGCTGATTTTTCACGTTATGATTAACATGATGATAGTACGAGTTTTAAAGGAGTAAAATGCTGATTTTTCACGTTATGACTAACATGATGATCGTACGAGTTTTCAAGGAGTAAAATGCTGAATTTTCACGTTATGACTAACATGATGATAGTATGAGTTTTAAAGAAGTAAAATGCTGATTTTTCACGTTATGATTAACATGATGATAGTACGAGTTTTAAAGGAGTAAAATGCTGATTTTCACGTTATGACTAACATAATGATAGTACGAATTTTTAAAGGAGTGAAATGCTGATTTTTCACGTTCTTTAAAAACTCGTACGATCATCATGTTAGTCATAACGTAAAAACCAGCATTTTATTCCTTGAAATCTCGTACTGTCATCATGTTAGTCAGGAGTAAAATGCTGATTTTTTACGTTATGACTAACATGATGATCGTACGAGTTTTTAAAGAAGTAAAATGCTGATTTTTCACGTTATGACTAACGTGATGATCGTACGAGTTTTTAAAGGAGTAAAATGCTGATTTTCCACTTTCAATTTTCCGAATAAAACAAAAACGTTAATTTTTACAGCCTAAGTAACTCAATAGATATTTTCAACCTGGTAAGCTGTTAAGTGAGGTAAACTACTTGCAACAAGTCATCTTGGATGGTTTATGAAGGTTAAGTTATTACAGACTGAAGACTGTGTCCAATGTGAAGGATGTTCCTTGTAGAAATATCATCATTGCGTTTCTATAAATGAATAATAATAACAATATACAAATAATTGTGGCCATAAACAAATAACTATTTTTGGCTATGAACAAACAAGTATTTTCTTCGCCATCTCGACATTGGTTAAACGGGTTAAAATAGTGCAAATATCAAAACAGATTTTTTCAGTGAAATCTTAAGGAGATCAGTGGTGAAGAATAAGAGTCTGATTACAGTATATTTGGTTTGTTTCAGATATTCAAAGCTGTACAAGGGTTCTCTCCACTAGCTTGCCCTAATTTCGACTTATTGACTAGAACAGTGAATTTCAACCTTACCTTGACTTAGGAACCGTTGGTAAACATCAACGTTCAGTGGCGATTCAGTAACTAGCTTTAGTGCAAAAAACATCTGGCTTATTAAGTACTTACTAAATAAATAAGTTACTGTATATATTCAAAGTTGGTTCTCGATCCTTTCACAAATAGGTTGAGAAACGTCAGGCTGAAAAGCAGCTAGTCAACAACACCCACCGCCAACTCTTGAGTATTTTAATCGAATAGTGGAATTTGACCGTCACTCTTATGATGTAGCCACTGCCCCAAAGTGCGGAGCGTAACTTGTGTGTGTGTTTGAGGGGGAAGGGTAACGGGACGCGAACCATGGCCCCAGATCCACAATCCTGTACATAACCACTACTGTAACCCGTGGGAACAATGATGTAAAGCAATGTACGTTTGTCGGAGATTTCGTGGTAAGTACAATTCGTAATTACTAATGCGTGGAAAAGTTTATACGTAAATACACGCCTACATTAGGATATCTATTTTGTTTTTCCATCAGTTTTTCTGTCAGATAACTCTAGAAACATAATCACGATAATAAAAAAAACGTTACAAGAAAACTTTTGTCAGATATTCAGGATTTTGTGGTAATTAATTAGACTAGACTAATATCCAGGAAATCTTAATTAGTTTTCTAGAACTCTTGGTATTTAGTGAAGTGAAACAGTTCTAAACAACGCCATCTGGTTTCATTGCAATTTACTCGTTATCGGACTCGTGCAGCAACGTCATGAGACTTGGCTCAGCATGTGCAACAATAGAAGTGACGTTTACTGTATAGTTTGTTTCAGAAGTTTCTTGTAATTCTACATGAAGGCTTCTTGATTATAATCTTCCCTAACTGTGAACTACTAAGTCAACAGTACCCACCGCCATTTCTTGGGTTACTCTTGTCTTAACAAACAGTCTGTTTTGATCATCACTCAAATTCATGGCCAAGGCACGCTAACCACTAGGCTACGCTCAATCAGACTAAGGCAAGACAGAACTTGCAAATTGCTTTAACTTAGTACTACCACAACAGTTTCTCTAATTTTAATTTGGTAATACCACAACCGTTTCTTTAATTTTAACTTGGTGAAACAGCAACCGTTTCTGTAATTTTAATTTGGTACTACCACAGCCGTTTCTTTAATTTTAACTTGGTGAAACAGCAACCGTTTCTGTAATTTTAATTTGGTACTACCACAACCGTTTCTTTAATTTTAACTTGGTGAAACAGCAACAGTTTCTCTAATTTTAATTTGGTACTACCACAACCGTTTCTTTAATTTTAACTTGGCGAAACAGCAACAGTTTCTCTAATTTTAATTTGGTACTACCACAACAATTTCTTTAATTTTAACTTGGTGCCAATGACATTAAAATGTTATTATTCAAACACAAAAGTATCTTCCACTACACATCACTAGTTATATATAAACACTTTACACACTTACTCTTCGAATCCAGATCCCTAATTACACGTGAACAATATTTGTTTTCAGACCAGTGCTCAGAATCTCTAATTTTGTTTTCCCCAATTGGATAACCGTTTGTGTGTGTGTGTATTTTTTGAAGTCGGTACCGGAGACACGGTAGACTTGTAGAAAACGTAATACTCCACGAATCGTACTTCTAGATCCGATCTTCGCTTCATCTCATCCTACAACCAACCTCTTTAATTAACCCACCTTTCTGTGTCGTTCTCTGTTCCACCTCACATTACTCTCAAGTTCTTCCCTCGACTAACTTCTCCTTCGCTGTATTTACAGAAACCTAATGCTAGCGAACACTAAGTTTGAGTTTGTGACTCTTTTCTGGAAAACGGTTATAAATTAAGACTCTGATTTAGCCAACAGTCCAGAATGACCAGGATGTATTAGGATGAATATGTCTTTGTAAGAAGAAGAGACTGCCGAATGAGATAAGAGAGGTTTTTAGTGCCTTCGTTAATTAAACAAAGTCAAAATTAACTAGTCAAGTGGATGATGTTATGTAACTCAAATTGGATGGCTCTCTTACTCTAAATATTGGCCAGTAAAAGTTAAAAATAACAACAGATAGCTTGACAACGTCGGCCTATGTATAGTAAAATACAAATGCGTTAATATATATGTTTTACAGCTGATGTGCAGAATCACAGCACACATTCGTAACTTTTACAACAAAAAAACACACTTGTATAGAGAAAAACGCAAATTATGATACTCAAAATTCAGATAAGTTACAAAAACTAACTCATAAACTGAGTGTTTTAGGACAGTACGCCCTCATTCTAAAGAAAATTTTAGTTTCAAAAGCGGTTTAACTATCAGGTTTTTTTTACTATATAGATATTACGCAAATGTTCTACATATGATAACAAACTAACGGCGAAGAACTGAAGTTTCGAAGTGCAAAGTGAAAGCGACAACATATAGTGAAACGAGAACAAAATAAGTCGAACACAAGCGCAGTCATAAACTGTCGACTTACACCACAGGAAGCAGGACAATCCTACACCCATCTTTAACCTATCACAAACACCATTCCCTCTATACCCCATCTTTAATTTATTACAAACCCCAATCCCTCTATACCAGTCTTTAACTCTACCTCAAACACCATTCCCTCTATACCCCATCTTTAATTTATTACAAACCCCAATCCCTCTATACCAGTCTTTAATCTACCACAAACACCATTCCCTCTATACCTCAACTTTAATTTATTACAAACCCCAATCCCTCTATACCAGTCTTTAATCTACCACAAACACCATTCCCTCT